AGTGCATTAATCATTGGCTGGATGATTTTTTTTTTTTTTTGGACAATCTGTATTTTTGGTTCAACTTTTGCCCATTTAGACAACCTGACTATGCTGATTTAATGTCAGATTCAGTCTTCCATACAGCAGAGGAAAAAAAAAGGTTTCTCTAATATGATTTTGCTCCTGAAGGAGTAGGTCAGGGGCCTTTATTTGCTCTCTCTCTGGGCAAACTGTCTTCCCAGTTAAGAGTCGTCGGTGCTCTTCCGTGTCAGTAAGAGTTTACATAGTTGCCATAGTATAGACCAAATTCTGTTCTAACTATGACTTGCCCTTTTATTATAGACTTGACTGGAGAGACTCCCCCGGTGTAAATGAAGTGCTTTATTTATTAACAGCCAGGCAGCGGGGGCGAGCGCGCTCCGTGCTGGCAAGTGCTGGCCATGCACTGGTAATAAAGGCGTTCTCTGGGGGCAAAGTGTGCTGAGAGCTGAAAGGAGGCAGCAGTGGTAAACAAGGTGTTTTACATTCAGGACGGTTCCTCTCTCATCTTGAAGTGTGTAATTGTGTTCTGGATAAATTATGGAAATAAGAAAAATCAGAAGTTGCTCATAGGGAAATAACCCTCTTTAAAAACAAGTAAATTTTCCAAGGCAGAGCCACCAGAGCCTTGGCAACAAATCCTGACGTTGGCTGGTTAACAAGTACAAACTGTATGGGCTGGAGAAGCTAACAGAACTGGGTTCAAACACCAGCTCGGCCACTTAGCTGAATTACATTAGGCAACTTATTTAAATTTCTCTGCGTCAACAGGTTCTTAATCTTTAAAGTGGGGATGTTGAAAACTCCAGGTGTTTGAGAGGGAAAAGCATGCAAAGCAACCAGCACTGGATGAGTGTCTGTTCCCTTCCCCACTCGCCTGTGTGTGAAAATGCTGGTTCCCCTTTCAGGTTCTTCCCTTAAGACTCAACCCCCTCGCCCCCTTCAGGTGGCCGTATTGTTGATCGAATAGATTCCATCGATGGTAGTGTTTTGTGTAATACCGTTTAAATAGAGTTTACAACAAAATGAGGTTTTAGAAAAGAATCCGTGAGTTAAGTTAATTGAAGATTGAATTAATAGGGAGTTTATGAGCCAACTGCCCCCCCACCCAGCTCCAGCCCTAACCAGCTCGGCTGAAGTGGTCATTACTAATCATGAAAATATCTTTTTTTAGATAATATGCTTTCTCTTCCTTATAATGAAGGTCTAGCAGTTTCTAGTTTACTATGGGGGACCTGCCTGTAAGTGAAGGGGCCTCTCCAATGGCAGAATTTTTTATTTTTAGAAATTGTGGGGCAAATAGGAAAGGTATAGGGAATACAGTTGCTGGTATAAATTGAAATCCAGTTTGATTCTGTCTCCTAAACATCGCCCCTGTATACTAATTAGCAGTCAAAAATGTCCATACACGTCAGACATTGTTCCACACTTAAAATAAATTACCTTGCTGTTAACAGCTTTATTTAATGGCTACGGTATATTGTACCTACTTGATTTCTTTAGCCCAGAACATGTGCTGTTTCTGCCTTGACAGTATATCTGCTAATTGAGTTTTAGGAAATTGGCAAAGGTTTTTTAAACGGATTATTTAAGAAAGGCACCAAAGTTACCTGTTTGTGTCCTTCTGCTACACATCAAACTGTGTTTTGTAACAACCTAATTGTCATGATATCTATTTCAAGGGGAAATTTATCAAGTCACAGTACACCCTTCTGTTTGGAAGAAATATTTGAGGATGTGAGCAGAAATTATTTTTACATAAAGGCTTCAGGCAGTTAACACTACTGACATACATATCATATTTTCATCACTGTCATTCACTTTCTTTGCCTCAAATAAATAGGTCATTATTATTCCATTGCAGCCATCTTATGGTGCCTTGAAGTATGGAGCTCTCTAATATAACTGCTGTCCAGCTGACCCATATAATTGATTGGTGATTTTTACAGAATGACATCCTTGGGCCGCCACCATCAGCCAAGGCACTGTGATATCTTTCAGCAAAATATTTCATAATCACTTATAATTTTTTAGCATTAGTATTGTAACCATGTTAACATAGCTAGGAATTGTCGCTTTCTGAGACACTGGATTTTAGGTTGGCCTTAGCAATTTGAAAAAAATAATACGGTAATGGTGGTGATACCACCATGGATTTGCAGAGCACATCACATGCCAGAGCACAGCAAGGGCAAAAATTGGCAGATGGCAAAAATTTTACCTGAACGATTTACTCAGTAGTGACACATTAAAGTGATCTGGTCTTATATTACTTAATTATAAGAAATAATTAAGAATGTTTAGACTTTTTTAAGAAACAAACGAACAAAAACTCTCCGATTCTGTTTTATTACCTTCATTGCTTAAAACACAAAATCACGGTCAACTCCTCTCTGCTCCCATCTGCTGTGCGAGGGTTTTATAGCGTTAATATGAATATATGTGCTACTCAGATTATACTAGGATTCCGAGTAAAGACTAAAATTAAAGTGTATAGTTATTTCCACGGAAACTATTCCATTAGAGCATAATTGAATTGCAACTGGCTTTAAGTCCCAGTAGCTGCAAGATAGTAGTCAGGATCTAGAAGGCTTTGGTTTATGTGGAAGGGATTAAAGGCTATTACCAGGTAGCCTTTCCATATGTTCCTTTTATAAATTGAAGATTCTTATTTGTGTTGCTAATAAACTTCCTGTAGATAGAGGAAATCTCTCCCACAACTGGTAGACCCCGTTTGGTATTCTAGTCTCCTCGAGGCAAGTCCCATGGCTTGAGACAATTACAGCATTTGAATCGTGCAGTTTAATTTTTCCTTAATTTTCTTACTAGATTGGGTTACCCTGAGGAGATAAGGGTATTGTCCTTTCTGTACATACTTTTACCAGGGCCAGCAAAACCACCTTGAAAAGCTGGCTTGATTGGCAGTAATTCCCTTTTCCTGGTTTTTTCCTCAAATCTGGGAATAAACTGCTCCCTCCAGCTGGGTTCTGAATTCTGTGTTTGTCACAGTAATCCACTGAGGGAAAAATAAGCATCCCTTCGATTTTTCTGATCACTTTTTCCGTTTGTTGTGATCCTGTAACACCGTGCAGCCCACTAAACTTGCACTGCTTGATCAAGCCGGGGAACATTTGCCCTTTCATTCTACAAGCCCTGTGGGCCTGCGTTCTTGCACCCGGGTTAATTCCCTGGGTCAGAGATCTCAAGGGCAGGTTTCATTTTGGTTTGCTCCTCGAGCACCAAGAATTTTTGTTTATCTGTGGCTCTAATAATTTTTTCCTTATCCCTCAGGTTTCCTTTTTTCTAATCCTCTACCAGAGGCTGGTCTATTTCTAGGTGGATTTGGCCTAAAGCCATCTTAGACACCCCTTCACATACTTCCCACTGTGTCCTGCCAAAAAAGGATCCTTCAGCAGAACTATGATAGCAGGTGGAAATCCTCCCATTTACTCTAATTGCATCTCTGTTTATGCTGGCTCTTTTTTTTTTTAGAAGAGTATTTATCTTTGACCTTTGTTTCTTAATGTGACACAGTTTTTTTAGGGAGTGAATAAGCCACGCTGAGTTGATGTATAATTACATAGGGAGCTCCTTGAGAGGGACAGTGAGCCTTCATTCTTGTATTCACACTACTCCCAACACATAATAGTTGCTTAATAAATGTTTGGATGACATCTAGAGAACTGATGGTGTTGATGATGGTAGCAGCTACCATTTATTCAGTTTTATGAGAAGCTTGACGTGCTGCTAAATGCTTTATATTTATTATCTTTCTTAGTCCTCCCAACAGCTCTATGAGATAGGTTTTAATTGCTATCCCCATTTTGCAAATGGGAAACTGGCTCACGACTTTGAATAATTTACCTGAAATCAGGCAGCTAAAAAATAATCTCTCTCTTCCCTCTCCTGATTGACCATTACACCTGTTGCCTATACTATACTTTTTGTTCTGTAACTGGAGATTAGACATCAGTTTCCACCCACATTGCAGCTTCTTAAAGGCTGGGACAATGTCGTGTACTTCAGTCTCCCCTGCTATACCAGGTGCAGAATTAGACATTCAACAATTGCTTCATCTTTTGCTTTTGAATTGAACTCTCCTTGCCTCCTACCTGTGTCTTGGATCAGTTAGGACATTTATCAGGGGCCCTGGCTGCTGTCATTAAGCTCAGAAGCAACAAACTAGAACAGATCTGGAGATAAGCCTTATATCAGTGGATCTGAAAGCCTTGACTTCTTGACATGTTCTGAAAGAGATTTTCTAAATGTCTAGAAACAGGGTGGTCTGCAGAAAGGGCATGGTTCAGGACTGCCTGGGACTTGGGGTGAGTCAGGTAGGTGTGAGTTTCTGAGAGCAGAGTAACAAACTGAACTGTAAGCCTTTCCAGGAAAGAGTCATCTGTCGGGTAGGTGCTCACTCCCACACAGTAAATAACTGAACTGCCTCTACATTAGGAATGTCCACATCCACTAACACGATGAGATTGTTTACTGAGCCCTCCCACCTACTTCCATTAAGTGGCCCCTTGAGTTTTCTGTGGGGTGCCCAAATAGCTTAGCTCAAGGGCATGTGAGCTGAGGTTGAGTATACGTATCTCCCCTACTCCATTTGTGAGAGCTGCAGCTTCTCTCAAAAGCCAGTACTCTGACCTTTCCCTGTCTCTCCAACAGACTGCTCAGCTAGTACAAAATAGTGGAGGCTGGAACTTTAGGATCACAACTTTTGAAAGCATGTCAATTCCAGGCTTAGTTCTATTTTGCCCCTACATATCTTGGATTAATAGACTCGTTTTGTGGACTATGGAGAAAGTTATGTGAACCATACCAAATGTTGCTACTGGTATCCGTTTTCTAATACGCTTCTTATTTCTCATTTTAACTGACTCCAAATCAGTTGATTCTAATTCCAAATTTAATTGATAACCAAATTTTAATTGATGGGAATTTTTTTCCTGACCTTTTTTTCTCCTTTTTTAAAGGTGATGGACAGAATTTGTTTACGAAAGACGTGACAGTGATCGAGGGAGAAGTTGCAACCATCAGCTGCCAAGTCAATAAGAGTGACGACTCTGTGATTCAACTACTGAATCCCAACAGGCAGACCATTTATTTCAGGGACTTCAGGCGTAAGTTTCCATCTCTATAGTGTTAGATGGCAACTCTTTTTCCTACATGTTGTCTTGATAAAGAGATTGCCAAGGCCTCCTTTTTTTAATTTAATGTTAGATGCTTAAAGTTTAGTCAATTCTTCAGAGGGAAGAAGAGACATGCAATCATAATCTTTCTGCTTAATAGAAACCTTGAATGGTCCCTTTTAAAAGTAAGGCAGTCTTACTTTGCAATAGGAATTGATTGTAGTAATTCAAGGTGAATTGCAATTGAGTCCCAAATACTTAGCTGACACAAACAACTCAAATAGGGTAAGGCAAGGAAAATATAGCATTCTGAAAGGTAATCTGTTTGGTTTGAAGATTGAAGTTTCCAAGATAATCTGTGCTTATAAAGACAAAACCAAATCTCGTGTCGCCTTAGCCTCTGGTATTTGGAGGTGTCCACGTGCTGAAATCTTTCCAAATGTAATATCACAAAAGCCAATAATCAAAACTTAATTGTGTATCATAGAAAACGGTTCAAATGGGTGTCATGGCTTGGCAAGAGCAGAAATAAGGTCTTTTGAAAATTGTTATTTGAACACATTGGTGCCTAACCAAAGCAGCTGTCAAGCATGTCCTTTCCCATCTGTTTGTCCCCATTCTCCCCAACACCTCAGAACATTCATGATCTGTAGAGAGAGTTGATAAATCTAAGTAACATTTCAGAGGATGAAGGAGGGTAAAAGGAGAGAAGCTATCTAGCCTTTGCCAAAATCAATATGAGGACTTTAAAAGGGAATAATTAAAATAAATAAAAAGCCCATCTACACTACTTTTGAGGTGACTGTGATTTCCTGCTTCATGCCTACTCAGTTTCATGCTGTGAAGCTGAATGTGGTTAGAAAACTGCAGGGCGGGTCTAAGGCCTCTGTAGGCCCCGCCTCCTGGACTTTTGGCAGCTCCACCTCAAATCATACCAAATAATATCAAATACAAAGATGCATCCAAGTTAAATAGGACTATTTTGCTATGAAGTTTTTAAAAATGATTTTCATTTTGCTTTTGAAATTACTAGCAATGATTTTTTTATTTCTTTCATAATTTGGAACCACTATTTTTTTAAGACCTCAGATTTTGAGAGACAATTTAAAAGCCTATGGGGGCCGGCTTCGTGGCTTAACGGTTAAGCGTGCGCGCTCCAATGCTGGCAGCCTGGGTTCGGATCCCGGGCGCGCACTGACGCGCCGCTTCTCTGGCCATGCTGAGACCGTGTCCCACATACAGCAACTAGAAGGATGTGCAGCCATGACATACAACTATCTACTGGGGCTTTGGGGGGAAAAATAAATAAATAAAATCTTTAAAAAAAAAAAAAAAAAAAAAAGCCTATGGGCCCTACTCCCTGAACTTTCAGTGCCCAAAGGGGACTCAGGGCCGCCGCTGTCCTCCGTTTTTGTTTTGCCTATCTCTGATAGAAAACCTAAAACAATTTATGAGTAAGGGCTGAAAACCGACAGCACTTGGAATTGTGGCAAAGTGTGTGTGTGTGTGTGTGTGTGTGTGAGAGAGAGAGAGAGAAAGAGAGAGAAAAATGTGTGAGTGTCCTTTTGGGGAGAGTTATTTGTCTACATGGAGTCATTGCAGAAGCCCAAAATAGTAATTCAGAAAGTACAAAGTACCCAACAGGTGCAAAAAGACTCAATTTTTCTACCCTGTGGCTGCCTTTCTAGCTGCCTGACTTCTTCCTCACCTACGTAGGGAAAGTAGACTGTCCGTCATCTTTCTCACTATCACTAACTCTGTGTTTTGTTTCACAGCTTTGAAGGACAGCAGGTTTCAGTTGCTGAATTTTTCTAGCAGTGAACTCAAAGTGTCGTTGACAAATGTCTCAATTTCTGATGAAGGAAGATACTTCTGCCAGCTCTACACTGACCCCCCACAGGAAAGTTACACCACAATCACAGTCCTGGGTAAGAATGGGTGTGGGCTTGTCCTGGGAACGGAGTGGGATGGCTCTTACTACCAGATGGCTTGCAGCCGCAAGGAAAAGGTTAATGGTAAATTTTACCGTTCAAACTCGTTTTAGGAAGAATCACCACCCATCTTGCTGAATTTTAAAAATAGCCTATTTTACCAAACACTCTAAGGAATGGCAATCAGCAGTCTTTATAGATTCCACCTGCTCTTGGGTTTCAACCCCACCCCCCGCTGCCCCCCCCCGCCCCCACCCCCACCAAAGCTTCAGAAGCAAAGATCAAGAGAATTTAGAGCCTTCAAATGAATCACTCACCAGGTGAAATGTCATCGTTTCTAACTACTGGGATTTTTTTTCCTTTCTGTGCAGGAGAGAGGGAGACGGGCTACTACATCTGTACCCCGTGGCAGACTCCGTTATGAAATCTGCTTAATGATTTTTCCTTCTGAGTTACATCCTTGCTTAATAGTGTTGATCTTTTCTTTGGCTTTACTTATTGCCTTGTTTATTGCTTATACTCTACATTATGCTGTAAAAATCATACCCCATGAACACATACTTTGCCACAAATTGCAACCATTGGATGTAAAAGAATTAAGAGCTTCTAGGAAGAGAAGGCTGATGATAAGCAAGGACTGTTGATAGCCTGCTAGGTACCCCTCTCAGGAGTTGAATGTCTTCACTTATGATCCCCAGGTTGTGACTGTCAGCAAAATCCCAGTAGCCAGGTTTCCATGTCTATATTTTGATATAGTCAGCAGATATTCCTGTATTGAAGGTGGTCTGAATTAGTTACCTTTTAGACAAACGTATACCCCACTGCATAACACCAGTGGATCTAGATTTTTGAAACTGAGTTTTCAAGGACGTACACTATGGCGTGAGGCAAGATCTCTGATTTACACCTTTGGGAAGATGATGAATCAAGGTCTATTTGAGGCGGCAGACTGCAGCTTTTTGGTGTAATGATATGAAGATTAAAGAGGAAAGATAAATATGAAGGACGTTTTTGCTTAGTGTGTGTGAACATGTATGTATTTATGGATGTACATATTGAGCTTCTATCTCATTACTTTATTTAAACACAGCTGTAAAAGGGAAAATATTTTTTTATTCATTAAACTAAAACATATCCCTAACACCTACATATATGTTCTTGATAGGAGGAATACTGATTTTAGAAAGTCATGTTTCAAGTCTGGCCGTACAGTGTCTCATGTGGTCTGTGTTTAGTGCTAGATGGCTTTCAGGTGTACATGTTTGTCTCTAATTGTGGCTTTAATCAGTATTAGACCTGCAGAAATAATAAGCATGAAAGGTTTTGCTGGGATGACTATTTTAGTATTTTGCAGATGTACCAAAATCACAAGCATGCATTTGAAGTTTTCTGTCTGTCTACTTGTGGAGAAGTATTTGAAAACACTGTTGGCCTATGGGAGTAAGTCATTAGCTGCATAACTGACCATCTCCCCATCAACCCACCATTGTTTATGGCATTTCCACAAAAGTGACAGCAATCAAGTGGAATATACTTACAGCGTTTTGAATTTTCAGAATGTTTCACTACATGTACCTTTAAGTGTGAATATCTTTATTTCACAGAAAGAAATGATAATAACAGAGGTGAGCCATCTTGCCCAGGTTACAAAGCACATGGTGAGAATCAAGGATCATAGACTTCGAAACAGACCTTACTATTCTGTCTCACAACCTTGAGTCTTCTAGTCTAGGTTGCTTTCAATAAAATCCTGAATGCTGCTGTTTCAAGATTTTTTCCCTGAAGATTCACATCTTTTGTTTTCAGGAGTATATCTGGGCATTGGCAAGCAGTTACTACCTGTCGGTTTCTGCTGTCTGGTACATTTGTTCTCAGACCCACTGGATTGGGCCCGTTTGACTGAATACACCCAGTGCTTGGGAGTCAGCATGCCAGCACCAGACTTCTGAGAGGCATTTATGCCTGTAATCCTTTTGGAGGTCTGATTATTCTAGAAGTAATAGGTTCCTGCTTGTATTGTATAGAAGCATTAACTTAAATATACTTGAAAGTAATACCGGTAAATGCTCTTTTTGCAGATATTATGCATTCATTTAACATTCTTTCCGTTAAATTTACTCTAGGATTCCTTGATGGAGTAAAATTGTTGTCATCAATGTTTGAGTCTTTCATATTCCAAAATCTGACAATTTCCACTGATACTCATATATTCAAACCTTTTCCCTAAGGTTTAGAGTTTTCAGATATTATAATGAGTGAAGAATGATATATTAGCATCTTCGTTTTTATCTATGATTCTCTCAAAAAGCTCTATATATACTTACACAGCTGTCAAACTTCTTGATAGGTTGAAGATGCTCATTTTAATGCATGTGTCTAATAGTTGTTTGAAGCATTCAGCAAAAATTTCAGTATAATTATAAGACTTCAAGATGGGTATTTTGTTAGTTACTATTATGTTTATTATCTTATCCATGTAAAAACTGAACACTCTCCTATGATATTTTGCATGCATTTGGGTGCCTTTTAGGATATTCACTGCTTCCACTTGTGATGAGTTCCTTTCTTTCTCCAGATCACAGTGTAGGCCTCTCTTTATACTACTATTCATGAGAGGAGTTAAACAAGAAAGAGAACACACTGCTTTAAGACTAATATAGTTACTGATAATAGTAGCTAATATTATTACAGTCCTGTCCTTCTAAGATTAGTGTTCACTCTGAAGATTCCAGGAACAGGAGAGCCTAATTATTTTAAAGGGTCTTAGGATGAGATTTCACGTGCTGATCAGCTTTAAGACTCTTCTTTTGTTGTAATTAACATGACTCATCTTGATACTGCTGATTTTTTTTAAATGTTGTAGGTGTAATGTTTATAATTAGCACTCTTATAGACTTGAGTTTCGCTAAGAAGAACCTTGACATTTCTCTGCTGTTTTCCGGTGTTTCCCTATATGTGATTCTCATTCAGGTTTTCATCTATATGCACCTCCTTAGATATATCTTTGGTTATTTTCATTAATGGCTGCAGGGAGTTTTTACTAAATGTGTCTGTTTAGTGGACCATGTATAAGTATATTCTCTGGTTAGTAGCAATTTTAATTCATTTTTCTTGTAAATGGATTTTTATACTTTACTAACCTCTTTTATATCAGAGTAGACTTGATGAAGTCAAAGGGAAAACAGGGTAGAATTAATAGACCAAAACAAACTCAAAGATTGTCTTGTCCAACCCTCTTTTTTCAGAAAGATAGACTTAAACCACCCCATTTATATTTTCCAAAGCTGTCTTGCTCTAAACAACAACAAAAAACTGATATCAATAAACCATTATGACTCACATTATCAGATTTTATTTTATATTTGTAAACCAAACAGCTCCCACTGTACTTGACTGTTTCTTCTTCTAATCCTAGTAAAGATCAGAAATACTACTCACAGTCTTTTTTTTTTTTTGATTTATTTATTTCTTTATTTTAGTATTTAATTTTGTTTTGGTGCTTATGTAAATAGTGTTGCATTTTTTGTGTGTGTGTGTGAGGATGGCTAGCCTGATCTAACATCCCACGCCAATCCTCCCCTTTTTTCTTGAGGAAGCTTGGCCCTGAACTAACATCCGTGCCCATCTTCCTCTACTTTATATGAGACGCCACCACAGCATGGTTTAACAAGCGGTGCATCAGTGCCCGCCCAGGATCCGAACCTGTGAACCCGGGTCCGCCTAAGTGGAGCATGTGCACTTAACCGCTGCGCCGCCAGGCTGGCCCCTAGTCACAGTCTTAAGAAGACTATTTATAGACTTGGAAAAAATCATTCAACTATTTCTTAGGATGCTCTTCTCAACAATAAACAAATCCTTTATTTTTCTACCCTGGTCATATTTTCCAGACTTTTGAAGTTTTCCACGTTTACCTTAGCCATCAAGATAAAGATGATGTCGGGGCCAGCCCCGGGGCGCAAGCGGTTAAGTGCGCGCACTCTGCTTCGGCGGCCCGGGTTCACAGGTTCAGATCCCGGGCGCGCACGGACGCACCGCTTGTCACACCATGCTGTGGCGGCGTCCCATATAAAGTAGAGGAAGATGGGCACAGAAGTTAGCTCAGAGCCAATCTTCCTCGGCAAAAAAGAGGAGGATCAGCATCAGATGCTAGCTCAGGGCTGAGCTCCCTCACAAAGAAAAAAAAAAAAAGATAAAGATGATGTCAGCTCTTTAGGAAGATAATCCTAGGAACTACAGGAATCACTCTGAAAGGTTAGGGAGCCTTACAATGTATCTGTTGCAATAGAGGAGGAATTAACATGGATGATACCAAACAATAGGTAATCCAGGTACCTATTTGCTGCCAGTCACACGCTCAACCCCAAACAAAATCTAAGAGACATTGGTAAATTTTCCACTGGCCTTATTTATACCTACCTCTTGGCATTTCCTTACTTTGAAACACAGACATTATTGATAATGTAGAAAGAACATGCCATCATCTTTATGGCCATCTCCATCTTTTGGGGAGAATAAATTCTTCCTTCACTAAGAAATACCATGAAGATGAACAGCTGGTGGAGATTACAAGAAGCCTTCATGAGGAGAGCCAGGGTATCTTCGGGTTCAGCATAAAAAAGGAGAGCATGAGGGAAAGATACCCAGGAACACACAGAAAACAAATATCTGACAAACACTACGTTTAAGGCTAAATGCCATTGAGACTTGGCAGTGATATATGCTGGAATGTTTAACAGCTTCTGGATCTGTTCCCATCAAGAAGATTCCCAGGTTACCACAGAGTGACCATCAAGGCTTTCCTCCCAAAGTTATACATGCAAGCTGGAATCTGATCTGCTCCATTCTATAGTATTTTCCAGGAAAGGGAGCTTTGTGTATTACAGTAGCTTTAGCTATTTGCCCTCTTTGCTGTATCTTAAGAGAGCCACCTTCCATGATCAATTTGAGTTTCCTTAAATTGAGTAGTATCGCATCAATTGCATTACTTAATTACATTCTCATTGGGAATCATTGTGTATCAACATCAGAAGTTACCATCATCACTCTTTTTATTTTTGCCTGGACCTTGAAAGAAATTATGATTGTTTGACTTTCATTCCTACATTTGTGAGGAGGATATTCCTAGGTCCTTGACTCCTAAGTTGTTTCCTTTTTATCACCTCTTATTTTGTTCCTCATAGCTCACCAAGATCTTATTTTCTTTAGACTTGGACAATCTTTGACATTTACTCCAACTGTAGCATTTTTTTCAGTATTTCTATTATACTGCACTCAGAATTCAGTAGTATTTGTTGGTCCTAAACATCTAGTCTCTCTGTGTATTCCCTGTCAACTATCTAGGTATGTATAACGAAAATCTATAACCCACCTGATTGCCATCTAGCAAGGATAACTATGTTGAGGAAATGGCTCGCTATAGTCATCCCATTTACTTCTGTCACTGCCTTTCTGTGTCTCTTAAAATGCTAGCAGATGTGCAACTCCAAATTGGTTGTTAGACTATCTCTCTTTGTGCTTATTTTTCCTTAAAATGTGAGCGAGGGCACTTCTTTGCTATGTTTAACTACTCATTTGGGCCATATCACTTTAGAAACATGTCCACTTGAGCAAATGTGTTATTTTTCTTTTACACAGAGAACAAAGAAAAGGCCTGCTTTTGGTCTAATAGTTACACACACACCCCACCACCACCACACATTATCTTGCTGAGGAACATATGCAACAAATCATTTGACTTTTACTTTTCCATCGTTCTCTATAGGAATTTTCAACTGCTTTAATTCAGTGTACAAGTGTTCCTGTGGCCAGAATTTTCCCGTTGGACTAGAACAGTTGGAAATCCCAAATACGTGGTTTAATCCCATAATTTATTGAAGCGGTATCAGAGATTTATTATTCAACTTGATCATCAGGATGGCATGTTTATACATATTTAATTTCTTGTTTCTCTTCTGAGTTGAGAAACTTATTAATCATAAGTCTCAGAACTGTCTGTGCTCATTCGTGGTGGTCAGGGCACACATTCTTAGATTCACTCTGCTGAATTCAGTATTCTTACTGATTTTTATTTCAAGAAGCTTAGTCTTGGGCCGGCTCCGTGGCTTGGCGGTTAAGTGCGCGCGCTCTGATGCTGGCGGCCCGGGTTCGGATCCCGGGCGCGCCCCGAGGCACCACATCTCCGTCCAACCCGAGGCCGAGTCCCGCGTACAGCAACTAGAAGGATGTGAACCTACGACATACAACTATCTACTGGGGCTTTGGGGGGAAAAAATGAATAAATAAAATCTTTAAAAAAAAAAAAAAAAAGAAGCTTAGTCTTGAGCTTATGTGAAGTTTTCACTGTCAACTCAGTTTCATAAAAGATAACGTTAGTGCTTTCTTCATCATCACCATCCTCCTCCAGACTCTTGATTTGGCTCAGCATTTTAGCCCCAAAACGTTTTCTTCTGACCATTTTATTACATGTATGTTTAATATGCTTAGAGAAGGGTGGTTGTAATTCTCATGTATAAATCTACTTGCAAGCACTTAACAGTCTTTTTCACATTTAATTTCTAAAATCTGGATCATTGAATTTCATAATATGGAAAATTACTGAAAATTAACTGGCATTTCCTATATTACTGCGTCTTAATATCCAAAGGATTTTATTGCTACGCTATCCATCAGAGGTCATGATTGTATTCTGGATCTCTATGAATAATTTTAATGGAACTGGTTCTGAGGCACCATTTTTCTGTGTATGTTTATGGTGAGTGATTCTTTTAAGGGACTCCAAGTTTTTGATCTTTGCTGGTTCACTTTGGAATCTTTCATATGAAGATTGAAATCCAAGGGTTGTGTTCAAGGAGAAATATTCCTTTCAGAGACTTGCAGGTAAGGATGATAATCTCAATAGTGTGTACCCTTCTTACATTTATATCTACTTTCTGGTCAATTTTCTAATGACTGACTGATAACTAATCTAATATCTATGTTGTTATAATTTGGTCACTGATAACTTAGGAGTGGGGGACCAGTCATTTTCTAAGATACCTTTAGGAAAGAAATTCTAAATTAAGTGATTTTTCATAATTCATTTTATTTGATTATGACTTTGTATTTCTTCTTTTTTCCCTTCGGTGGCAGTTTGTTTTAAATTCCCATCAGGAGTATCCCTTGTCTCCTTTTTTGATAGCAATGGTGCTAGTTTCTAATGAATAGAAGAATATGTCCAGAAAAGATTCTGTGTTTAAAAAGCACACATGTTTAATTTGTAGTCCCACCACGTAATCTGATGATCGATATCCAGAAAGACACTGCGGTGGAAGGCGAGGAGATTGAAGTCAACTGCACGGCCATGGCCAGCAAACCAGCCACGACTATCAGATGGTTCAAAGGGAACAAGGAGCTGAAAGGTAAGGTGCACACTGCCCTGTACTGTAGTCAGCCTTTGATTCCCACAGGAGTGTACCTTTGTGGAAATAAGGACAAATGCAAAACATGCCCCTGAAACAAAAATATCCATTTAGATATGGTTTATAATCATTTACTAAATGCATCAGAGGCCAAAGCATAACCGCATTTTATTGGCTCTAATTCATATCCCCATTCTGTGGTTTGAGGGTTCCCGGTGATCTCTGTTGCTGGATTTTTACTCAGATGCTCAGAAAGAACTAGACCTGAAACTAGAACTCTTTAGACCAGGAAAAACCACTGTTAGAGGCGTCCTCTGAACGCAGGCTCTCTTTGTTGTACCTTCTGTTCTCATTGCTTTTGCCCCATGACCCTGGGTGGATCAGAACTCCAAATTCTCATCTTATACATTTTTTAAAAAGTCTAACAGTCTTTGCCATGGTGAATTCCAAGTCACCCTAACATCTATTGCACTATCAGCTGTGTTGACTGTGTGCTTTCCTGCAAGGGTGGTTGTGGTAAAGGGACAGGATTTTATCTTAATTGTGAATTTGCAGGCACCACCTTTCTTGTGAAACCTGTGATTCAGTTGCCCATTTTGCCAGCCTGCTCTTTTGCAAAGTTTCCAATTTTGTGATTGCCGCAAAGGCGACTCTTTTAGCCCTGCTCCCATCGCCTCTCCCTTAGTCTAGGCCATCCTATGTTTGATTCCTAGATCCTCAAATATCTGCCACTTTAGCCATTGCATTGACTAAAGGATACAGCCTGTCCCCTATTTGACCCGTTTTTGTCAGTTACCCTAAGTTCCTTGTGCGTGTCCGCGTCCCGATTCTTTCCTTTTCGAGGTTGCCTTGCGAACAGTACCCAGGACTAAGGACTCAGGGGCTGAAGTCCTCTGGTCATTTGACAGAAATGCTAGCAATGTGTCTCAATTTCCTCTAAAATGGGGATATTAATATTACATAGTTTACGTGATTCTTATGAAGATGAAATGAGTGATTATTTGTAAAGCATGTAGCTAGTATCTGGGCTGAGGTAAGTGCTCTGTATGTGCTTGTTAAATAAATAAAGGGTGCCAGGAAGAAAAGAGTAAGTCCTTTTAGAAAGGGGATATAAAAATCTATATCTAGAAACAGATAAATCTATATATAACAGCTTAAGTTTCAGAAAGCTTGTTCTGTTTTTAATCTCCCATTTCCTAGGTATGGTTTTGGAAGGAAGGAGTTTCTCATTTCCCCTCTGCTGTTCTAAGTGAACTGAGCCATTAAATGTGTACCGATAAGTACAAAACATTAAAAGAAAGTTAATGGTGTGCCATGTCCCAAGGAGTGCTGAGTTCAGGAAAGGGGCCGCCTTGGCCTATTCATCCCAGCCGGAAGCCTCCTCCCTCCTTTTCTGGGTGTTCTTGGATGTGTCTCCGTCTGGCCTGGAGCCTGTATCTTACTTTGCTCTACCCACTGCCACTGCATTTTCTGTGGTCTTCCAAAAGTCTCAGAGTTTAAACATTTCGATTACAATTTCAATTATGTACATCCGTTTAGTTACTTTTCCTCTTAATTATTGCTGATGGGGGTAGGCAACGGGAGTTGTTTATGTCTTTACTACTGATTGAATTACTTGGGGATTTGGATCATGTCCTGGAATTTTTAAACCACATGACAGCCTAGAAGATGTTTCAAGTTCAGAAGGTTGTAGGGGTGAAAAGCATTTTTCTTTTTCTCCTCCCAAATGCCCTGAACAGTCAGATGTCAAAATGGTTCAACTTTCAGCTGCCTTTTTGTGGGAGGTTTTAAGATAGAAGAAACATGTAATATATTTAAATAAAAATAGTCTATATTTTATGAGATTGAAATATAAAATACTATCCTGCAAGGTTGGAAAATAGAAAATCATTATTTTATCAATTATCTATCTACCCTCAGATTACCCTTATCCCAGGTGACTTCCATCATCTTTGTTAAAATAGCAATGTTGGGGCAGAGGATATAAAAACAAAGTGATAGAAATTCACTCAGTTCTGGTTCCTTGGTATATTTTATGTCCCCCCAGGCAAATCAGAGGTGGAAGAATGGTCAGACATGTACACTGTGACCAGTCAGCTGATGCTGAAGGTGCACAAGGAGGACGATGGGGTCCCAGTGATCTGTCAGGTGGAGCACCCTGCTGTCACTGGAAACTTGCAGACCCAGCGGTATCTAGAAGTGCAGTGTGAGTACCTGTCTTAGTCCATTTGGGCTGTTATAAGAAACTGCCACAGACTGAGTAGCTTATAAACAACAGAAATTTATTTCTCACAGTTCTGGAGGCTGAGAAGTCCAAGATCAAGGTTTTGGTGAGGGCCGTCTTCCTGGTTCATAGCTGATGCCTTCTTGCTGTGTCCTCACCTGGTGGAAGAGATCTCCCTGAAGCCTCTTTTATAAGGCACTAATCCCATTCGTGAGGGCTCCACCCCCATGACTACGCAACTCCCAAAGGCCCTGCCTCCTAATACCATCACAATGGGCATTTAGGTTTTTTTGTTTGTTTGTTTGTTTTGTTTTGTTTTTTGCTAAGGAAGATTCGCCCTGAGCTAACATCCATTGCCAACCTTCCTCTTTTTCTGCTTGAGGAAGATTAGCTGTGAGCTAACATCTGTGCCAATCTTCCCCTATTTTGTATGGGGGTCGCTGCCTCAGCAGCATGGCTGATGAATAGTAGGTCCATGCCCGGGATCTGAACCCGTGAACCCAGGCCACCGAAGCAGAGCACACAGAACTTAACCACTACGCCACAGGGCCAACCCCCAGCACCAGACATTAGGATTTTAACATAAAAATGGGGACTGAGGCACAAACATTCAAACCATAGCAGTAGCCGAGTATTCTATTCTGAGAGCATAGAGTAGCAGTTGCTTAAAAACACTTCAGAAGCCATTTATTGAATACATATGTTTTTATATGGTATCGATAGAATTTTTATCTTGTTGTCTTGGTAGAAAAATAATCAAAGGATTATTTTACTGAAACACTGCCATATTACAGAATGCCAATGAGGATTTTGAAAATACAGCATTTAATCCAAATGTAAAACTTTAAAATGATTCCAATCTGCTCCAGCATGACTTTGTTAATTTAATTGTGTGAATATTGACTATAATCATTTCTATGCCAATTTCAAAATCTAGGGTAATTCCCCCTTTATTAACCCCATCATAAGTGCTAAATTTTTTTATAGAAGAGATTTTATTCCCATTCTGTATCAGCATTTTGTTTTAAATTACACATTCTCTTCCATTTTTAGCTTAAATTATAGCAATGAATTTAAAAGTGGAACTCTTTGGGATCAGTGCCACAATCTTGATGGCTTCATCAATAAAAGCTAGATTGTGGTGAGTGAGGTTGTCTCCTCACCGTGCCCTGTGGACTAAAGATGGTGTCTTCTACTTGCGTAAAAATATGTTTTCTGCACAAAATCATCCTTGCACCAAAGTTGTGGCCAAGTAGCCAGCGTGTCGCTTTTTATCAAAAGGCTTCTGTAACTTAGCCTCTGAAAAATTCCAGGTGATATTTGAGTAAGCGTAGTGAAAATGTTACAAGAGTTTGGTTGGAAAGGCAATGATTGGGTGTCTGATGAAGGAAAAGCATTACTCTGTTTGAATTCTTCTATTAATTTCCTAGGGTTGCTGTAATAAATTGCCACGAGCTTGGTGGCTCAAAACAAGAGAAATTTATTCTCACAGTTCTGGAGGACTGAAGTCTAAAATCGAGGTGTGGGCAGGGCCGCGTTCCCTCCAAAGGCTCTAAGAGAGGATCCTATCTTGCCTTTTCTGGCTTCTGGTGGCTTGTGGCCGCATTGTTCCAATCTCTGCCTCTGTCTTGACATGGCCTTCTCCTCTTCTCTGTGTGTTTCTTATAAAGACACTTGTCATTGGATTTCGTGCACACCCAGGTAATCCAGAATGGTCACATCTCAAGATGGTTGACTTAATTATGTCTGCTAAGACCCGTTTTCCAAATAAGGCCACATTCACAGGTTCCAGGGGTTAGGAAGTGGGTATATCTTTTGCGGGCCACCATTCAACCCATGACAATCTTTATCACATGTTTACATTGCCTGAGCAAAACAGGGTAGGGAAAGTTATAAAAAATTGCTTCTAGTCAGTTCTCAGCTTTTTGGCTAAAATCAAGTGTAAAAAGTTGCTTCAAAGAAACCATCCCATTCCAACTGTGAGCTTGGCTCAATTTAACATTACATACTGCAGGTTTTTCTTGTTAATTCATTTCATCTCCTTCATTATGTAGCTTCATTATGGGCATCATGCTTATAATTTTCATATCACTAAAACTATTGTGGTATAATGTCCCTATAATGGGAAAACAGAAATGATCAGATATTATCTAAATTGGCAGATAGTAGATTTCTTGTGACTTTGTTAATATGTAATTCATTTAAGCAAACTTAATATCCATTAACTTTCCATGTAGGGGCCCATTAGCTTTAATAATACATTAGTTTCTTTGTGAGACCTGAGTAGATATTCACCCAGTTCCCACCCTTAAACTCGTTTAGTATCTTCTAAGTAGAATATAGCCCCACCCACCTACAAAATTACACTCACTCCCAAGTGCAAAATATTTTAAGCACAACTCCTCCTACCCCTTGGAAGACTTGCTAATAATGATCTTTATAAGCCTTGTCTTCCATCTTCTGTAGATTCAGGTGAGATTTGTCCTTGTAAGAAAAGGAATAAAACTCCATATCTGAATCCATTTTACTTCAATCTTACAAAATACTGCTGGCCCTTAACTGCAGGAAAGTGACTCTAATGCCTTCCAAAAATGAAGAAGCACCTGTTGATCATTTTCAACTCTAGCATGACACCTTTGGATGGGAGACTCTCTGTTCTTTTTGCAACATAAGCCACACAAACATTTTATCTTTGATACTCCGTTTTTTTGGAATGCATATGAGGTAAAAAGTCTTTTTGCATAAGAGAAGGTTAAGAATTACAAGTGTTATATTATTCCAAACGGGAATTCAGAGTCTGGTTTGGCATCTTAAATAAGAGTCTCTGTGCTTGAGAAAGTCACCTGATGGTTCACTACCCTGCATTCCTAGAGCACCTGATGGTTCACTACCCTCCATTCCTAGAGCACTGCTGAGAACTTTGCAGAGTCAGCCAGGAATTCCTTGGTAGCTTCTTCAAACACGATTGGAATTCTCTCCATCATTTCCTACCAGCTTCACTCTCCTTGAGATTAGCAGCTATGCAATAACAAAAAGACTTGTGCCTCAGAGCCTAAGGCACTCAGTCATTGGGCGCTGAAGCTTTATCAGTGCTTAGCCAGTGGTGTTGATGGTTCAACTCCATTCCTCCCATAGGAAACCTCTCTCTGCAGATAAGCAGTACCGTGTCTCAGATGGCCACGAGAAAGGAAGAGACACTTGAATGCATGAGATTCAGTAGCCCATCTGCATGGATGTTGAATTATTTTGGATACCCTGTGAGGTGTAACATTATACCATTATTTTTTAATTGGCCCAAACGCTTAGAGTCAGCAGTTCTTAATCTTTTGGGGATCACTGACCCCTTTAAAAATCCTTGGATAGCTGTAGACCTGGAAAGGATTAACAAAACCACATATTCACCGCATTTTGCTTACAATTTAAGGAGTCCATTTACCCTAAAGAGTCTTCCTAACTTCATTTATTTGAGGACCACTTTCACAAGTTTTACCATATCCACAGGTTACCTGTGACCTTATCTCATTTCGAATTTTTCTTTGTCACTTTATTGCTTTAACCTACCCAAGACCTATATAAAAATATCTATAAAATTTTGAGTTTTATTTGCTATATATTATAATAAACATCACCAGGAATATACAATTATTTTTTTAATGTCCTTTCCTTTGCCACCTAAAGAGATTTTTTATAATATCAATGATAAACATTATCTTATCACCAGGAAATACTGAGCACATCTGTGGACCTCAGATTAAGAATTCCTCTGCTCTGGGTGAATAAGACTACCCCAGGGACCAAGCTAACCTGATCAGATTGGTATTGAGTATATTCACTTGGTTCAGCCCTGGCCCCTTTTGCTACATGAAGGTTTATGGAAACCTCTCTAGTTCATCCAAGATGAGTGGATATTAATCAGGATATGAACAGGGTTAAATGACAGATAATGGATTTGAATTCTGTATAAATTAGATCCTTTAAAAAATATATTTTTTAAAAAGGAAATGAAATAATGAAAACCTATGTTGTGTGCCATTAAATATGTTAATATGACAGGAACAAGGAGGAGGGATAAAATGAAGGAAAGGTTACACTTCTCCCCTTGAAATGGAGTGCTACCATATTGCATAGAAGACAAGGCTTGAGCCTCGACTTGGAATTGCTTCTGTCTTGTGGATTTAAGTCCTAATTAATTGAACACAGAATTTTGCAGTGTTTGTTTGTTAGGACCTTATTTGTGGTACCAGGAGAAATGGTTGTGCCCAATTATGTGAAAAATCAGCCAGATGTGTATGCTGTCATACTTTTAATAATCCTTAAGTTTTTGGTGAGTACAGATATTAATTGTGTAGTATGCATTGAAGTGATTAACATCAATGTAATTTATCATCTGGAGATTTCTGAACATAAATAAATGAGTTGTTTTGTTCAGCAAGGTGTTGACCCCTTCAGAGCTAGTGAATTAAAGTCCCCCCCCCCGCCTTTTTTTTATTATAAATATGAAAGGCACCACGATCAGCCAAGTGTTCAGTTATTTGATTTTCTGGGGCATTAGCCGCTCTTGTTTGTGACATTTCCCTGTTGGGTGCTTGTTTGCAAGCTCATTAATAAGTTTTTCTCATAGGAACGTTGCTGCGAATTAAGAACATACAGTAGGGCTCTCAGTTTTCTAGTTTTCATTCTGAGACTCAGCAAGGATACAGCAGCAGCACGCAGTTAAATGTTTAAAACAGAAAATAATTATGCTCACAAGCTGGAATTCAGACCTCTCTTTCCTTAGATGTTGGACAGAGAACAATTTTGCTTTTTAATGTTCTGAGCTCTATGACCTTAAATTCTTTCTGTGCATTTTTTTCTTTCAAATGTCTGTGTACATAACGGTGCTCAAATTTACAACATGGTTGATTATAGCAGAATGTGATACAATTGCAGCACAGTTAGTGGAGCTTCAGATCTAAGGGAACCAACTCTTGTCAAATGAAAGC